TTTAACCCTTTCCAGGACAAATCTGTTTGTTTTCCTAGCAGTCCATGGTATTCTCAATACTCTTCTCCAGCACCACAGCTCAAAGGCATCAATTCTCCTTCAATCCTCCTTGGTCATTGTCCAACTCTCTGATGCATAACAAGTGATTGGGAAGACCAAAGCCTGTATCAGACGCACCTTAGTCTCCAGAGAGACACCATTGCTCTTCAGTACTTTGGAGAGGTCCCTAACAGCAGACTTTCCCATGGCAAGGAGCCTTTTAATTTCCTGGCTGCTGGTGCTAAGACTGTTGACTATGGAGCCAAGCAAACTAAAGCTGTGTACAATCTCAATCTCTTCACCATCCATCCTGACGCTGCCAATTGGTCCAGTGGTGAGAATCTTTGTCTTCTTGACATTGAGCCTCAATCCATATTGTAGGCTGCAGTCCTTGACACTCTGCAGCAGGCGCTTCAGGTCCTCTTCAGTTTCAGCAAGCAGGGTTGTGTCATCCGCATAACGCAGGTTGTTGATAAATCGTCCACCAATCTTGACCCCACAATTCTCCTCATAGAGCCCAGCTTCCCAGATAATCTGTTCTGCATATAGGTTGAAAAGGTATGGAGATAGGATGCATCCCTGGCGTACGCCCTTCCCAATTTTGAACCATGCAGTTTTCCCTTGCTCTGTTCTGACGACTGCCTCCTGGTCCAAGTATAAGTTTCGCATTAGAATGATCAAGTGTTCTGGAATTTGTTCCTTTTCACATGAAAAGAATCAGGAGACCAAAACTACTTAAGATATATGATTTACAGGAAGAGAGACCTCCAAGTTCTCAGCTCGTTTGCAGGACAGAGGACAAAAGTTTCTCTTTAATATTAAACCAGAGAGTTACCTTTTTGCAGGCTGGACTCTCAGTAATCCTGAAACCCACTTGTGAGCGAGCTGGGCTTCCAATAATGGCATCCAGTCTTCCTCATCTTCCCCTTCTGTTATGCATTGTGAAAACAGAGTGTACAACTATTTGTTTTTCATTGCTTATTTTTTAACTTTGCTTGTATGAGAGGTATTGCAAAATGTTTTTTCTCAGTTGTCAGGTTTTCTTTTCAGTCTATTGGAAAATTGTTTTGATGAGCACAGATATTTACTCTTTAGGAGGTCCCATTTTTCAATTTTGTCCTCTCCAGCTTGTGCATTTGTTTTTGTCAGTCTCTTTATATGATAGACTAGCCCTTCTAAGCTTGAACCTTGTCTATCTCTTATGAACTTTATGGTTTTGGGCTTTACTCCCAGGTGTCTGATCCATCTTGAGCTGATTTTTTAAAAATGTACGATATGAGATATGGATCTTGTTTCAGCTTTCTACAGGTAGCAATATAGTTTTATCAGCTTTTGCCAGTTTTGAAGAGATTGTCATTTCCTCATTTGATAGGTTTTATTTTCTTGTCGAATAGCAGGTGACTATAGGTAGAGAGGTCCATTTCTGGGTTATTGATTCTGTTCCATTAGTCTCTGTGCCTGTCATTGTGCCAGTGGAGAGCTTTCTGGTCTTGGAGATTTTAAGGAGCAAGGCACCTGGCCTAGGATGGAGCTTCTGCTCGCCTCAGAGATTTCCAGGGTGTTTGGCTTGATCAGAGATGAAATCTTTGGCATTCTAGGAAATGGGTATAGGCAAGCACCCAATTAGAGAGGGCAAACTCTGCTGGCATGAAGACAGTCACTTCCAGTTGGGGGCACATTGCTCCAAATGGAGTGTGTCATATGCCAAGGATGGAATCCACAAGAATGCCAAGGACAAGAACCTCAGACAGAGGTGATATGTTAGCAGTCATTTGGATGTAGGGAGCACATTTCTGAACATTGAGATGTGTATTTGTTTTTCATGCTAGGTACAAAATGCTGCAAGTGTGGCCTCAAATGGAGCTGGAGCAGGGCTAGTGGAGCACTACTAGCCTCCTGGTGAGTAGTGGTGATGGTGGTAAGCCATTTACTCCCCTAGGCTCCAGGAGGAAATAGGAAAGAACTGAGAATTGTGCTTTTCTTATTGTCATCAGCTTGTGGTGTAGACACCTGAATTGTGCAAATGATACAACCTTGGCTTACCGATAGTCAAGAAAGCTTGAAGAGCAATAGGGACTATAACCTTCAATATGGGTTGCATCTGAACACCAAGAAAACCAAAATCTCCACTACTAGATCAATAGGGTAACATCATGATAGATGGAGGACAGGTTAATATTGTCAACAGTTTCATTTTACTTGGATCCACAATCAAGATAGAAGCAGTGAAGTAACCTTAGAAGTCTTGCACTGGGAAAATCGGCGGTCAAGGACCTCTCCAAAGTGCAAGAGAGCAAAAATATCAGCTTAAGGACTAAGTGCACTTGATCAATCTATGGTATTTTCCTACGTATCTAAAAGATGGCCAATGAATAAGGATGACAGAGGAAGAAACAATGCCTTTAAATTTTGTTGTTGGTCAGGAGAACTGAATATTTCATGGATATCCAAAGCCCTAAATCTGTCTTGGAGAAAGAACAATCAAGGTGTTCTTTAGAGGCAAAAATGGCAAGACTTCATATCACATACTTAGGACGTATTTTCAAGAGAGGCCAAATCCTTAGATAAAGTCTTCATGTAGGGAAAGGTGGAGGGTCAGAGAAAGAGAGGAATATCCTCAACAAGACAGCTCAACACTGTGACTCTACTAATACATTGAGCAGTTGGAAGATTATAAGGAGGGAGCAAGGTTCAGATCTGTTGTTCATAGAGTTGCTATGAGTCATAATTGACTCCAGGGCACATAACAACATGTTACATTTGTTTTCTGGTGTCTTAGTTGGAGAGAATCTGGACTGCCTCCTTCCTGGTCTACCATCTTGCCAACAAGAATGTATTTGTTTTTATAACTAACTGGCACACTGAAAAGAAATTTATTGCCAGCCATTTTTGGTTACCCTCTCTGACAGTGTAACTTCTTGTACTTGACACCACCCTTATGAGTGACATTACCACTGTGGTGGACAATAGAAGCTGCACATTGGTGTCACCCTCACCCCAAGTCACATTTCAATTTCCAAAGTCATAAAAATCACTAAATTCTACCACAGCCCAGGAAACATACCTGTCACTCTATTTATACAGCTATCTTTATCTTGTATCATGAAGAATCCTTTTGTGTTGATGTGGAATGTTAGTTTTATCAGAGAAATGGAAGTACAGCACCTATTGCCAATATTCTTGATACTCCACCTGAGGAAAGTATTTTTATTCACTTTATACTGAGTAATAAAAACACATAGCATTTTGGAAAAGGGTCTGAAAAGTATGCCAAGTGTTAAGTCTTGGAACATGACTCTGGTAAAACAAAAAAGAATGAGTTCCTTTTTGGGAAGGAATTTTTCCATTGATAGACATTTAGCCTCCTATCCATGTGCCTGGGAATGGACTGAATGGTGATGACCTGGCTGGAGGAGGGACTGTTCTGCTGCAAAGGCCCTCTAGGTGATACCAAGAACCAGGGTTTGGGCTTTTGGCCACTTTCTGCAATGGGAGGGACCTGCTGGGCATGCAGGGGCAGGCAGGCCTGCAGGAGCCAGAGGTTCCTTGTGGATGGGATGGCACAGACGCAGGCTTCTGGGGCTGAGGGCTGCTCCGGCTATAGAGAGGAGGCCCAGCGGGGACTAGTAAGTAGCCCCAGTTCTCTCTTTACTGTGGACTGTTTGGAATGAGCAAAATCATGCTTCATCAGCCAAAGAGAGTGCGGACACGCAGGTAGCTTCTCTGGTGATTATGTTTGATAGGATAACCAGTTTATGCCTGAAATAAAACTATGCATAGATACACAAGAAAGGATTGTAGTTCAGCACTTCGGTTACTACTGTTAATGCTGAGAATAATAACAGAATTGACAGTGACTGTAGCAATGGACTTGGGTTCAGATCTGTTGTTCATAGGATTGCTATGGCTCTACGGCACTCAACAACAACAACAACAACAATCATCACCCACTCTGTGTGTGTGTGTGTGTGTTTTAGAGGGGTGTTTGTGATGAGGGGTGGAGGGAGGGATTTTGGAGTATTAATCATAAGAGCAATTGTGTAACAATTAAAGTGAAAGATCTTTCTCCAGCACTTAGCAAAGTTAAGGTTTGCTTCTCCACATTGTGTTTATATGGAACTTAAAAAGACTGTTAATTATATATAAATATATTTCAAATAATGCAAAATTAGTGGATACTATTTATTGAGAGGGAAACAGCATCTGTTTTAAGTATATGCAACCCAAATTTACAAATTGAAGATACTTTTTAAAAAAGATACTTTTTACGTTATTAAGCTCAAGCTAAGAGACCATTTTAGTTACAATCTTATTTATAGCTAGGAAGACTTAATCCTAATTGTTATGTATTAAAAAATATGCTAACAGTACCGTCTTTCTTAAGGGAATATGAGTTTATTCTTTAGAAACCCAAGCTCACCTGAGGATGATACAGTACAGGAGCCATAGTAATGTGAAAATCAGAAGACTTGAGGTTTTGTAGTTTATAAACTTCAAATGATGTACTCTGATGATGTACTTGTTATCTGCCATTGGGTCAGAACTGACACATAGCTGACCTTCCAGCTGGTTTTCGAGAGACAATAAATCTCATGGGAGGAGGGTCTCCATCTTTCTCCTCTTTGAGCAGTTGGTTCCAACTATGCTGACAGCTCCTTAACACTAGGCCACCTCCTTAAGGTATGTTTAGAGTGTGTCAAAGTATGGAGCTTGGGGGTAGAATCTCAGAAAGGGCTTCTGAAAAAATTCTGTAATCTGTATGCTGCCAGGAGAGCATTTTGGAGATCAGGACTACAAGAAAGATAGAGCAAGCCAGATGAGCCCCTCAGATACATATCCCTGCTGATATCCCCATCCTTAAGCTTTGCTTAGTTTGGCATCCTGTTATTTTTTTATTAATAGGTTGGGTCATGATATAAAAATTATTTTACAGTAAATTAACGGCTGTGAAGAGGAAGCATTTTACTCTAGCAATGAACTCCTCATTGTACCAGCACTTCTTGTATCTCAGCCTGGATGTCACAGAGGGCAACATTTCAGGATCAAATGCCAAGAATAAGTCTTCCCGGTGTGAAGAGATGGGCATCGCAGCAGAGGTGTTTCTGACTCTGGGAGTCATCAGCCTCCTGGAGAACATCTTGGTCATTGGGGTCATCGTGAAGAACAAGAACTTGCACTCACCCATGTACTTCTTTGTGTGCAGCTTGGCTGTGGCAGATATGCTGGTGAGCATGTCCAATGCCTGGGAGACCATTGCTATATACTTGATCAACAACAGACACCTAGTGATAGCTGATGCTTCTGTGCGCCACATTGACAACATATTTGACTCCATGATCTGCATTTCTGTGGTGGCCTCCATGTGCAGCTTGCTGGCTATTGCAGTAGACAGATATGTCACCATCTTCTATGCCCTGCGCTATCATCATATCATGACTGTGAGGCGCTCAGGAGTGATCATCGCCTGCATCTGGACCTTCTGCACAGGCTGTGGCATAATCTTCATCATTTATTATGAATCCACTTATGTCATCATTTGCCTTATTTCCATGTTTTTCACCATGCTGTTCCTCATGTTGTCTCTGTATATACATATGTTCCTCCTGGCACAGACTCATATCAAGCAGATAGCAACTCTGCCTGGGCATGGCTCTGTGCAACAGAAGACCAGCATGCGTGGTGCAGTCACTTTGACCATTCTGCTGGGCATCTTCATCATATGCTGGGCCCCCTTCTTCCTCCACCTCATTTTAATGATCTCTTGCCCACAAAACTTCTATTGTTCTTGCTTTATGTCTCACTTCAATATGTACCTCATACTTATCATGTGTAATTCTGTGATTGATCCTCTGATATATGCCTTCCGGAGTCAGGAGATGAGAAAGACTTTCAAAGAGATTGTTTATTGCCATTGGTTCAGATTCAGCTGTAGCCTCCATAGCAAGTACTAAACAAAGATGTTTTCTTCTCAGTATGGCTCTCTTTTGTCCTTTAGCTGCAGTTTCACAAGTCAATTAAATGCAACCAAAGACCAAGCAAACTACATTGTTGTTGTATACTGTCAAGTTGGTATGTATTCATAGCTGACCCTCCAGAGGGTTTTCATAAGCAGTAAATCGCACTTGGTCAACAACAGGCACATCTTTCTGGGAGGAGATTTTCCATCTTTCTCTTATGGAACATCTGGTGGATTCAAACTGTGTGCCTTTGGGTTGGCAACACAAATCCTTCCCAAATTCCCTTTGTTTTACATCTCAAGCTTGTGCTTAAGATTCACTCCTTTCTCCTCACCTACACCTCCTGTCTGCCTTGTGACCACTGCTGTGTCAACTAGGCACATACTTGTAAGATCACGGACTTGACAGAAAGGAACCAGTGGGTAAGAAAGAAAGTTTAAAGACAGCTTTATTAAGGGAGATCCCAGGTGAGCTTCCTTGGTCTGAAGGGAGAGACCAGGGAATCCACACCCAAGGTGTATTTGGGCAGGTTCTTATAACAAGGTCTAGGTAATGAGGAAGGGTAAAGATATTCCACTGTAGTTAGTTGTTGGTCATGCCAGGTGGGTGAGTCAATCTGTTCATTCTCCTTGCTGACATGATACAATTCCCAGTTTTCTATGCTGATGGTGCCTTTTGGTGATAAAGGGTGATGCATTTCTGTTCTGGATACTTCCTGCTGAGCAGGGGCAAAGATCTGGGGGGTTCAGAGGTTAGAGTAGTAATAGCTGATTTACAGTTAAGTTGGTCATCTCCTTGATCCTGTGCAGTAAGAACTTAAAGAGGCCTGGAATGATTAATAACAATATGCTTATGATTAATAACAATATGCTTATGATTACTATTGTTCCTAGAAAAGGAAGAACCCAGGCTACAAAAAGTTTCTCAAGCCAATTGGGAAAAAGGTTTGTGTGGGAGGGGGTTTTTTTGTCTGTTTTTTAATTCTTCAGCTAATTTTGTCAATTTAGAGACACTTTTTTCTACTAGTCCTAATTCATTTATATAGTAACAACATACAACAGCTGCATTAATCAGTCACAAATCCTTAACTAGGCAGTAAAATCCATCAGCTTTTCTAACTTGCAGGATCTGGGTATTACATGGAAAGTTTTTGGGGATAAGAAGCTCATTGGAGAGTAAGAAGGTAATTTTAGGTATTAAGCCCCTACAGTGTTGTGCAGAGGTAGAGAATTGGGGTATAATGGAAAGAGGAAGGGTCTTTCAGAATAATGAGAACAGACTGATGGTGAGAGGCTACAGTGGGTTGGAAAGATCCCATACAATGAAGTTGACAACATTTGGTGGTAGAGGTAATGCAGGAGGGGGTTTAGAGGGAAGGAATGCTAATTACTAAAGGCTGGTCAGGTGAACTAGGCTCGTTTGACTCCCAGAGCAACACAGCCCCAAGTTTAGACAGGAGGTCCCTGCCTAGTAAGGGAGTTGAGTATGTAGGTAGGGATAATTAGAAAGGAATGACTGAGTACTCATTTGTCGAGGGTAATGAGGAGAAGTTGAGTGCTAAGAGGCTTGGATGGGAGGTCATAAATTCCCATTACTGAGACCTGGGAAGGGAAAAACAGAGAAGGAAAGGAGTACTGAGAAGGTAGCCCCTGTGTCAACCAGAAAGGAAACTGGCTTACCCGCTACCTGAAAGTTACCCTGGGCTCAGCAAAGGCGATGGGGGTTGTCAAAACTGGGAATATTCAATCTTCAGCAGCCAGGTCCAGAAGGTCAGCTGGGATAGGGCCTGGGTCTGGTGCGGGGGCTGCCTTACCATGGCTAGGCGCTGAAGGGCAGTGAGCCTTCCAATGGTAAGGGCAACGCTATGTTGGAGGGGTAGGGTTAGGGAAGTGGTTAGCCCAGTGGCTTTTTTTTTGCCACACTGGAAGCATGCACCATGAGGTAACTGGATCTTTGAATGAGCGGGGGTGTTTTCTGACCCTTTACCACCACCCTCCATAGGGTAGCTATTAGAGCTTCAGCCTGCAGATTCACCTTCTGTTGAGTGTGAGTCAGCCTCTGCCTGTTTCACTCAGGTATCGAAAACTTTAAAGGCCATGTTTACCAGGTCTCAAATTGGTGTTTGAGGGCCATCTTAAGCCTTTTTGAGTTTCTTTTTGATGTCATGGGCCGATTGAATAATAAAATGAGTAGCTAGGGTGACGGCTCCTGCTGAGGAGGTAGTGTCTAAGTGGGTATATTGGCTTAGGGCTTTAGTGAGACAGTTAAGGAAAGTGGCTGGATTTTTGTCCTTAGCTTGGATAATTTCTCTAAGTTTATGAAAATTAACTGCTTTATGGGAGATGGTATGTAGGCCAGCTAACAGACACTGAATCATACAGTTGCTTTTGGCTCAACCATCCCTTCATGCTACTGTATTAACTTGGTGTGTTGATTTTGGCTCTTGCTGGGGGACGGCTTGGGAGTCAACTGGCATAGTGCTAGCTGTTAAGTGTACCTGGTCTGTATGCTGGTGGCAGCAGTGAGAACATGTTCTTTTTTTTCTGAGGTCAAAGTAGAGGACTGTACAACAAAGAGATCATGCCAGGTGAGGTTATAGGTCTGGGTTAGATACCTAAATTCTTTTTTTTAAAATTTAGGTTGTTTATTTTTCATTTCAATGAACATCTACAGAGATTTTGGGATTCCATTCATTCACTGTTGCACCCTTCTCCCCGCTCAAACCCCTCCCCCCCCCATTTGCTCCTCTCCTTGAAAAGCAAAAGAAAAACTCCCTCATTGGTACACAATCCCCCCCGCACCTCCCCAAACCCCACCCCCTAGCCCCAAATATAATCCACTCTACAACCCTCATTGCATACTCCTACGATAAAAATAATGCCCTAAAATATAATACTTTTAGACTATTCTCTCCCCCATAGGCTTCAATGCCACAAACATATTTCATCCAGTCTTTCTCAGTTTTACCCCCACCCCAATGCCAGCCTCATTCTACAACAGTGGCACCATATAGCATTTGTCCCTTTGTGACTGAGATACCTCACTCAGCATAATGTCCTCCAGGGTCACCCATTTTGAATAATATTGCATGAGTTCCTTGTTTTTCAATGCAGCATAGTATTCCATTGTGCGAATATACCACAGCTTCTCTACCCATTCGTTTGTTGATGGGCACTAAATTCTTTTATACAGGTTGTTGGGTCTTTGGAAAATGAGCCTAGTTGCTTTTCTATTTGGGAAAGCTCAGTTAGGGAGAAAGGTGTGTGAATGCGAATGGGACCCTCAATGTCTGCAACTTCTCTAAGAGGACAGAGGAGAGACTTGATCTGGTGGGATAAGGTGTAGCTAGCAACTGGTGATGTGAGGGTGAGGGTAGTTGAGTATGGTCTAACTGGAACTGAAGAGGTGGTGGGTTCTGGAGGGAATGGTGGGTAGGGGGAAGGGGGACTCTGGGAAAGGAAGTCTACAGGGTCTGAAAAGACAGAGTTTTCTGGAGGGCATGAGAATGGGTCTTGGGGGGGGAGTAAGGTAAAAAGATAATTTGGTAATGGGAGACTTAATCATTGAAGATATTTGGGCTAAGAGAACCTGCACAGGTTGGCAGGCTTTACAGAGAGAGGGATGGGGACAAAAGTAAAAGAAAGCTTGTACATATGGGATTTCTGGCCATCTCTGAGTCTGCTGGCAGAAATTGTCAAGATCTCAAAGAGCATTGAAATGAAAGATTTCATTCTCAGGCCACTGAGAGTTATTATCTAGCTGGTATTGTGGCCATGCTTGGTTACAGTAAAAAAGTAGTCTCTTGGGGTGGAGGTCCACAGCCAGGCCCAGATTTGAAAGGTTTAAGAGGAGACAGCTCAAGGAACTGACCTGTGGGGGGTCTAGACATTCGGCTACCCATGGTGTTTAGGTCTATGGGTGAGGCAACTGAGATTTCAGGGCATATCCTGGAAACCGGGAGTCTCAGATATGGACAGAGGCTAAGGATGATGAGGGCGTCCCCTCATGCAATCAATAGCCTGGGGAAAAGCACCTGGCACTACTTGGTATGGGAGGATCTAGAGACACAGATCTGTGATTTTTCTGTGGATGTACAGACAGGAGTTCAGTAATGGATGTAAATCCCAAGGGAGTTTAAAATGCCTGGAGGCAAAATGCCTGTGGGCTGTTCTGAACAGTACCTTGGGAATTTTATAAGCAAATGGACCATTCTGAGGGAGAGAGAAAAGTCAGAAAATAAGTCAGAGAGTGTATAGGAAGAGGGAGGGGAGAAGGCAGAAGGCAGAAGAATAATAGGGGCAGAGAGTTCTCGATGGGAGGAGGTGCCAGATAACTCCCAGCAAGGACTATTCCAGAATAAAAGTAGCAGTGAACAGGAAGAATGAGTTCAGGGAAAGTGGATATTTCTGATGAGTGGAAATAAACATAAAATGGATGGAACCCCATTTTTATTTGAGTTAAGAGCTCCCACATGGTCAAGTCTGACAGCAGTTAGGAGGAAGGCTGTTGTCCCTTCAGCAAGTTGCATCTTGCCTCCATCGAGGTGCCCAGGACCTCCCTGTTGCTTGAGTTAAGAGATCCCACCTGGTCAAGTCTAACAGCAGTTTTCCCCCCAAAGTACCTGAGTAAGCATGGAGGAAGGCTTTTGTCCTTTCTGTAAGTGGCTTCTCTCCTCCGTCGAGATGCCAAGGATGCCTCAATTCCGTGAGTTAAGAGATCTAATGTGGTCAAATCTGACAGCAGTTTCCCCCCTAACGTGGCTGTGTGAGCAAGGAGGAAGGCTTTTGTCCCTTCTGCAAGTGGCTTCTTGCCTCCATCCAGGTGCCCAGGATACCTCCTCCCCACTCATTGCTTGAGTTAAGAGATATCCGTGGTCTTGTCTGACAGCAGTTTTCTCCAAAAAGTACTGGAGAGAGCAAGGAGGAAGGCTGCTGTCCCTCTGCAACTGGTTTTTCGCTTCCATAGAGGTGCCCAGGACCCCCCCCCCCCCCCCG